GCTGGCGGTGCCCTGCCCTGCCCGGGTCTCGGCCCTCCTCCTGCCTCGGCCCCGCTCGCAGCGCAGGCTGACAGCTGGAAAAGCTTTCCTGTAGTTCTAGTTGGAAATCACGGTCGGAGCGGTAATGGAAAACTGCATTTTCCTGTAAATGCCAGGAGAGCGAATCCGTGTAAAACGTAGAAGACAGAATACGTTAATACGATGTACTCTCCGATAGTATAATATATATTAATTTTAGTTCACTTTTTGTTGTCTTTTGTGTCTTTGCTTTAGTGTTGCACAAGAATATGCCTTTTAAAAAAAGTAAACTCCCTCAGCGTCCTTGTTAACACGGAGTAGAGGCTTGCATCAAAGCAATACTTTTCAGTTTTAGATTAAAATGAAATAATACATTAAAATGGCTTCTTATTACTCACCAGCCATGCAGATAGTCCAAGTCATAGCTTTCTTTATCCAAGAATTTACAAAGAGGTTTTGAGTTGCATGTATAGCCTAACTAATGTTACAGACAATTTTGACAAGAGAGTGACAGATGAAAAGGATTCACTAACAAAATAACCATTATCTATGAAGATACTAAGGCTATGTCACAATACTATGTTTGCGTAGTATTTTATACAGTATTGTTTGTTTAAAAACAATTTATTTGTATTTTTTGGTTCTGCTTATAAACTTTTTAGTTTTGTTTCTCTTGACAGTGACTGTGTTCTTAAGCACTTTGACACCAAAATTCTACTTTGCGCTTACTGTGACTTCATCTTTTATTTCTGGACTGATATTTGTAAGTAGTCCACTCTTTGCCCCCCCCCCCCTTTTTTTTTTTTTGTTTAACAGCTTTTGAACTTGTTAAGGTGAAATGCAATAAACTTCCTTTTTTTTTTTGAACAGGCTCTAGAGGGTGCCTTTGTACTACAAAGGAACTTACTGTTTAGTATCTCTTCTGGTGTATTATAAGCGCTCTCTTACTATGAAGCCTAAGTAATCTGTATCTGTTTTAGGAATTCAGGCTTGTTTGAAGTGTGTATGTATGTGTGTACATATATACAAGCATGCACACACACACATGTATATGGGAATTATGCTAAATACGTTTCCTAAAAGAAAAAGAGTGATTTTTGGTTAGCAACTATTTGTAGTAATGTTTCTTACCAAGGAGTGCCATTTGTTTGAACATGACTCTTTTCTGCATGCTAGTGGAAGTACTCCGATAAGTTTGTCCAGGGCTGACAATGTAATATAGTGCTTGAGGACTGTATTATACGTGTGCAGATATTTTTAATAGCATAAAAAAGAAAGACAGTAATGCTTTTGATCCAAAATTTCTAGTAAGTGAACGAGATTACTGTTACTTAAGACTTCCCCCTTTGAACTTTGACTGGCAGAACATCTCAGTTCAACCATCCATTTTGTGCCTTATTTTTAGATTCATTTTATTAAATGAAAAAGCTACGCCCACTGTGTGATTCTTGCCTCTGTCTCTAGTTTCCCTGTACTGCACACTTTGGTCTTAAAAGATCCAGACACCTTCTGAAAGGGTTTAGAATTTAGCTTAATGACTTGGGGAGGGAGGAACATATGTTTGAAAATTTTACTGTGTTTTTTTTCAGTCTCTTTCATGTTATGTGGGAGATCTTGCATGACAAGACAGGCATGAAACAGTTAATTGGTGTTAATTTGTACGTAGATAAGTTCTATCTGTAGTCATTTTCAAGAGTCTGTCCTTGCTGTTGAGTTTACTCTTCATCTCTTATGTTTATATTGGAAGGGTGTTGCCTAAGAAAATTTCTGGTGCTTTTTTTACTCTTATGACAGGTGTTTGAGTGGTGGCATTTCCGAAAATACGGCACATCTTTCATTGAGCAGGTATCTGTGAGTCATTTGAGGCCCCTCATTGGTGGAGTAGAAAGCAGCCCTCCAGCACCAGTAGTGTTCTCAGCTAACAGTGGAGAGCATGAGACAAACAGGCAGAATATGCCAGGTGATTGTTAGTGTCCCTACAATTTTCCTGGAGCTTCAAGAAGGCCTTGTTCAAGTGAATTTACTTTTCTTTTGAGTGGTTTTGATTCTGCATTAGTGCTTATAGTAACTGGAGAAAGGCTTACGCTTTACCAATGTATTTTATCAATAACGGTAAAAGAAATTAAATGATACGTAATATATTACATAGTATCTTTGATTTAAAACATTCGTTATTAAAAGCATCATTTTGAAAATGTATTACACGTTTAGCTAAAACTGTTTCAGTAAGGTTAGATTTTTTGCTATTCTAAATACGTACAAGGTAAACAATGCATGATTGTGAATGGCAGAGTTTAATTTTTCCACCATGTGCTTTTGTATGATGGAAATTCTGGGGGGGGAGGGAGGGGGAAACCCGTGGGACAGCAGAAGCTCTAGGACGCAGAAAAAGATCGTGTGTGTGTGTGTATATATATATGTTTATAAAAATCATAATTGAGATGAGGCTATAAATCTCAAATTAAAATATAGCAACTACATAGTTTTACTTCAGCAACAACTGGTTTTAAAGTCAAGGTAGTATTTCTTGTGCTCTTAATTCCAAAAGTACTTTTTTTTTTTTTAATCATTTTCAGAGTGCAAAGTGTGGCGAAATCCTCTCAATCTTTTCAGAGGGGCAGAATATAGCAGGTATTAATAATCTTATTTTTCATTGCATGGTTTTGAAATTAATCTGGAATGTATTTATGACATGTTCCCAGAGCTTGCAGTAGTACTACTGGGAGACAGTTAAGACCTACAAGATTATAGGGTTGAAGTTTGGATTGATGCCAATCCTGTGTTTAAAAAGCACCTACCCAGACTTTGGCAGTTTCAGTGTTAAGAATGCAAACGTCACTGTAAACATCACCGGCTTTTCAGAGTAAAGTAGGAGAAGATTATAATTGGATTTATTTCGTTCTTTTTTTCAGAAAACTCTGGGAAAATCATGGTCTCACAGCTGTTGAGTTATTTTATTCTGCATTTGAGACCATGATTCTAAATCTGAAATATCCCTTTTTAAACTAATTTAGCTGTGCTGTAAATCTCTGTGCTATTTCATAGGAAAAGGTGCTTCTTAGGTAGCCAGTCCCAAGTCTCTTAGAACTTCAGGATCAAAAAGACTTTTTTTTTCCTCTGCAGGAAGCCTTCTGGCAACCTGTACAGATTATGGAGCAGTAGTACTTGAAAACTTCTGGTTAGTAGCCCACTCTTTTATTAATAACGTTTCTGCACTAGCTTCAGTCAAGCGCATCAGGTATTATCCTTTGGCATCAGCATTACTGTTTACTAGCAGTACATTTTACTGAAATTTCTCTTGTTAAAGATACATGTGGGTGACTGGGAAGGAGCCTCTTACATATTATGACATGAATTTGTCAGCTCAAGATCATCAAAACTTTTTCACATGTGATACGGATGCCCTTCGGCCTTCAGATACAGGTACCAGTGATGTATGTATGAGAGATATATATATATATCTATATGGAATGTGTAACGTGGATATTTTTAATATATTCAATATAGCACAAGCTATTGTGTGAACTGCCTTGTGAAACAATAGCCTTTCTCTACTACTTAGGTGGTTTAATAGATGTGTTGAGTGAATAGGTCTTTTTTTCTTTTTATATTGTGCTCTCTCTGTTGGCTTTAAGGGTGGTCGTGCATCAGGATCCTGAAATATTTTAAGATCTCACACTTATTAAATAATTAACAATATGATGCTGAAAACCTGAATTATTCTTCACAACCAGTGCAGAGGTCTGATTTAAACAGACTGTTGATGAACAGTGCTGTCTCTGTGATTTTGTCATAGTATTCCAAATGTTTAGTGCAGAAAATGTACTCTACCTGGTTATTGTCAGACTAGGTGCTAACTATTACCAATTTGTCAAGTTCCGGAAGCATTACTTGTCAGCGAGCTATGACATGTTTGATAATGTTTTTGTTTCACAAATGGAGTGTATTGTCTCGCTTACTAAGCCAAGACTAATATTTTGTTTCCAAAAGAAAACTCGACCATTTTTCCACGTTATTCTTGCTGGACAGCAGAAAGTTTTGTTCCAAAAGAAACATGTATAGGTTCTTCAGTTTTCTTATCATACTTGAGATAGGCCAGATATTTAATTCCATGAATGTAATGTTTTGGAGTTCTTCCAGAACTGTTACTTTGTGTGAAAGCTGTTAATTCTACCTAGAAAATGGTAGCTGTAAGTACGCTTGCTTTCTTTTGGTTGAAGTTGGCTCTCAATTTGGGATCCCATTTTTCCCTAGTAGAAACATAGCGGGAAAGGGTGTGGAGATGCTTTACTGAGCTTCTTGTTTGCTTTTCATCTGACTAATTTTGCATTCAAGTTGTAATTCAAATAAACCTTTTGAATAGGTGATTTCATCATTTGTTTCTTAACCAGTTCTTAGGACACCTTTTAATAAGATGATAAATGATTATATTTTATCTTGAACCGACTTTGCCATGTTATGCCACTCAGATGTGCTTTGTGAATTTAAAAATAAATTGTTTAACCCTTTATGATCTGGTAGTTGTTCAGATACTGAAGTGTGAAACTATACTGTGCAACACATCTTGTTATATCAGCTTTCTTCGAAGTTCTGTTTGAAAACTTAAATTGAAATTCTGTGCAGGTCTGTGCAAGAACCGGTGTTTAACAATTGCTCCTGCCAAGCTTTCAACAAACCTTGGGAAATGCTTACAAAAATCTGTAGCCGTTTAGAAACTGTACATCTGTCTGGTTATGTAAGCTGCCTTTGTTTCAGTTTAGGAGTTCTTAAATGGTCAATGAATAATGTTCCTGTTGGTATTGCTGTCTTGATTTAAACTTGTGATGTAATCAGATGTTGCAAGATTCTGCTTCTTGTGGCAGAAGCTCCTGCTGGGATTAAAACACTTGTTTACTTGTCCCTGCAGCAGTTGTTTAGCAAAGGTGAATTTACAAAATGAAAGTGAATGTTATCTAGTAGAATTGAGATATAAAGAACCAATATTGCCTCAACTTTTCTGACTGGCTAACTAGGTGTTAGCCTGCATTTCTGTTCCTCACCAGCCTTTTAAATGTTTTTGCAACAGTTATGCAGAAAGCATGGAGAGAGAGAAACCCTCAAGCCCGGATTAAAGCAGCATATCAAGCTTTAGAATTGAACAATGAGTAAGTTTAGAGTATAAGTTGATTTTCTTTATTTCCAGTGTGAAAGGTTAAAGGGCATGATATTAATTCCTAATTATTTAGAATTAGAGAGAGAAGTTTCCAAATACTTAAAGGGGGATTCCTGTGAGTATGAGAGTGGCTGTCAGTTACACTGAAGTATTGAACTATGTTTTAGAAAGTGTTCTAAGGGTTTTTAATATACTTGTATAACACAAACCAATAAAATTCACTTACTTCTGCAATCAACTTTGTTTTTTAATCTGGTCATGTTTGTGTAAAAAGGTTTACCTTTTTGTTTTAAAACAACACACTGAACAAAAAAGACCTTCACACAACTCTCAAAGTATTTTAACTATTTAATGGAAAATAATTTTTCTAGCAGGTATGTCGGAATGTTTATTTTGCCTTAAAACTGAAAAGGTTTCTGTTTCCTGGCAGTCACCATTTGAACATAACTATTGATTGTTATGGTGCAGCAGTGTAGTATTGTCAATGCTTAGATACTAAACACAAGCAAAAACTCCCTGTTTCTGAAAATTTTTATGCTTATTCAAAAATATTAAGCTTTATGTCCCCCAGAATAATTTGTGGTGCTTTTTTTCCCTGTTACAGCTGTGCAACTGCATATGTCCTCCTGGCTGAGGAAGAAGCAACGACTATTGTAGATGCTGAGAAGTATTTTAAGCAGGCTCTGAAAGCAGGAGAAACAATTTACAGAAAGTCTCAGAACTGCCTTTCCCAAAGTCCCCAGCATGAAGCACAGCTGAGTAAGCACTTTTGAATCAGATAACCACTTGTTTTTCAGGAGCAAAATAAAATAAAAGTTATGATAAGTGAACAGTGAAGTAGTTCTTACTGTTTTAGCTATGCTTAGCATGACATGTTATATGGTCTTCTGTAGTACTAGGATAAATCTAGAAAGTGATAGTTATGCTGTGTGTCTGTCATAGGCTGTCTTGTTGGGGCTCCTTTTATTCCAGCCAATGTTTCAGGGAATAAAAGTCTTAACGTTTTTTGCCTTTTAACCTCGTTAAAAGGAACTGCTGACATTGGTCTAGATGGGCTTTGGTTGAGACAGCACTAGTAATTATTTTATGTTTTTACACATGGTTAGGGAAGAACAGGTTGCTTTTTTTTGTTTTGTTTTTTTGAGAGATTTGTATATCTTCATGTTAGAGGTGTACAAAAGATGATGACAGCAATCCCAAATGTATCTTTTACTATTTTGCCTCTACAGTCAATTGCACCTAGATTATCTGCTTTGAAATATTCCTGTTAGAATGCATGTTCATGTTTGTTTGTTTTTTTTAAAAAGGATCATAACAGATAGACTAATTTTTTCCTTTTTTTTTTAATCAGGAAGAGACACCAATGTATTAGTCTATGTGAAAAGGAGGCTAGCTATGTGTGCGAGAAAACTTGGAAGAATAAGAGAAGCTGTAAAAATGATGAGAGATGTAAGTAACTTTAAAAAAGTGTGAGCAACTCCTGATGTTTTTTCAGTCGCGTCCAAACTGATCATGTAAAACTCCATTTCTAGGCATCATAGTGACTCTAATGGAATTATTTCCCAGGGAGATTTGCACATCATGATGGATTTATTTGTTGGGGGATGATGACGACAATTTTTTGGTTCCTGTATCTAGAAATTAAATTTTCATAATATATAACGGCATACGTTCACAGTTTTGTTGTCAAGTTTGCTTCATGCTCGAGTCAACGACTAACTTGTTAAAATAGCCAAACTTTGCACTTCTTCATATTTTTCATTCTTACCTTTTGTTTGCCCAAGGTTTATCCTAAGTTGTTATTACATGGAAAATACACTGACCAAACCAGCCCACTGGGAAACATGCCAATCTGGGCTGAAAGTATGGTGTATGAACACCTAAGTGTACTTGCCTTCCAGTAGATGAATGCAGGCAAAAAAAAAGCGACCCCTTTAAGGTAGGGGTGGTGCAACACTTTTGGTAGTATGCCAATTTCTAACATTGCAAAAGAACAGAGCATTGAAAAAGTTTAAATTATTATATTAATTTTTATTAACTCTTTCAGAAGTCCAAATAAAAAAAACTATGTAATCATACCTAATTTATTCTTCTGTATTGGTTTTCAGTTAATGAAAGAGTTTCCGCTGCTTAGCATGCTGAATATTCACGAAAACCTTTTGGAGGCACTGCTGGAATTACAGGCTTATGCAGATGTCCAGGCGGTTTTAGCGAAGTATGATGGTAAGTGATGTCTGTTTGGAAAAATACGGATATATTTATGCATAATAGTATAGGTGAAGAGGCAAAGTGTGTCCAAAAGCCAGATGTCTACCAATATCTGAGCTAGTTGGCTAGATTCCCCTCATCACCCACAAAAAGGCACTTTCAGAGCATGAGCCAAGTTTTTCCATTTAAAATGATAAGCTCAGATGGAGTTATCTGAATCTAGGCAAGCTAAATTACATACAAATTAAGTATTGCACTCTTAAGTTACCTCTAATCCAGCAGCAGATCTTGAAATTCGCTTTGCCTCCACTGAGGGTGTGCGTGTGTTTTGGGTTTTTGTTTTTTGTTTTTTGTTTTTTTGAATCTGTTCTAAATCCCTGCTATGAATAGTTATGAATAGTTTCATCACCTTTCTCAGTCACCCCATAGCTCCCTTAAAAGATTTGATGTAAATAGACTGAAAAAGGTAGTCTTCCCTTCTGTCATCCTCTGGTCTTGGTCTGATGATTCTGTAATACTGAGCCTGCTTGCCAGAGGTTAGTGTTGTGCAAGCTTTGCTCCCTTAAATGGCAGTGGTTTCGTTTCGCTGCCTAAACTGGGGTGTTTCAGGTGTTGTACAGGCCTAGACAAATGTTAATAAAATAGGTGCTTACTTGTCCCCAGAGTTTTGCCATGTAGCTAACGTCCGGGTCATTAGCGTACCAAGTGCTGCTGCCAAAACTGTCTCTTCAGTCGCCTTCAGAGTGGAGAGACGTAGAAGCAGTATTTTGTGGCAAGCATTCCATGCCCTTTAGAAGTCAGTGTTCTCTGTTGTGTCTCTGTTCTTTATTGCTTCAGGGAATCGGAAGTATGATGTTCTTGCCAAAATCCTGTGCCCCTGTGTGTGGCCACTTCAGCTGCGTGCTTGTGTTATTTGACCATCCATACTCTACTGTATGGGTTATTATTAATTTAACAAAACCATTTGCTCTTTCCCCAGGATGTCTTTATGTTAATGTCAGAAATTGTGACCCTTTCTTCCTTAAGAAAAGGGTGCTGATATTTTTTCTAAGCATATGGAAAAATTAATATGAGCTTCAAAATTTCTGTAGCCTCCCAGTGCTTTACTTGAAATGACAACCAGACTTCTAGTAGGTGATGGACAAGGCCAGGATGGGATTTTCAAAAAAACACAAGAGCTATCTTGCTGTACACAACATGGTACTTGGGAATGGGACCCGAGGCATTGCCTGCTTTTAAAGTAAACTTGTACTGTGGAGTGCTAACCTCCTGATTTATAATTGTCAGCTCAAACTTGGCCTCAGAGGTTGTCGTACAAAGTATAAAACTAACAGATACTTTTCCCACTGAATTGGATAAGAATGGAAATTACATTTTCTTTTAAAAAAAAAAAAATTGTTTTCTACCTGTCTGTCACGTAATTTTTTTGGTCAGCTTCTAGTCAGTGTCTCTTTCAGTATTTTGTGAAACTGTTGGTATGCAACTGCAAAATCAGGTGAAGATTAAAAGTTCATTTTAAACCCCCATGGGTTAATACAGGGAAAGTACCTTGCTCTCAATGTGTATTTATGCATGTATCTCTCTTTAAATCCAGTTTCAGTGTCTTGGTATGTTTAGAAGAAAGAATTACTCCTTCCCACCTAACTACAGCTCTGAGTTTTTTTTATCCAAGACTGACTGGTCACCAGAAGACTGTGCATAGTGGCTAAGAATTTCAGGGTTTCTAATCATAGCTGAAAAGTTCCAGATGTGACATTTATTGTATGGCATAGACAAATAAAAATCTTTAAGCTCAAAGGAAGTGGTTTTAAAATGTTTGTCTTACGTTCAAATGTTACAGTTTAATTATTTTATTTTATCATAGATATTAGTCTTCCAAAATCAGCAGCAATATGTTACACAGCAGCCCTGTTAAAAGCCAGAGCTGTTTCAGAAAGGTAAGCAAGCCCACTTGTGAAAAAAGTAATTTGTTGCTAATCTTGGATTATGCTGTAAAGTATGAAATAAAAAGGTCTAAATCCAACGTGTAGTGCTTATATATCTAAAAACAACAGCTGTGTATTTTTTTATATATATCTCTCTCTATATATATATCTCATTCAGTAGTTTTTATTTCACTTTTCTCTTAAAAATAAACTTTACAGGCGAATAGTTAGTATGCTCGCTCTTTGTGTAAAATCCAGGAGAGTTGAACATAATTAAACAAATTTTTAAGCATCCTTAAAATTAATACAGGTAAAGATATTATCCAAAAGCACATGTCCGCACATGTACTCTTCTATAAATTAAG